CCGGGGAAATTTAAAAGAATATTGTTGTCACAAAATTGACAAGAGGTAAGGAGGTATCCGATTGATATTAAGGAAATAAGGCATTTAAGAATTAATAATGTTCTTGGAATTATAGAATTAGTGAATTACTCAAGAAGAACACTAAAAAGCGGTTGAGAAAACGTCAATTACAAGCCAAAGCCGAAGCTGAGGGTGATTTTAGTCACTTAAAAAAGAAGAAGAGCGCGCAAACGCTGGTGATAAATGACCATCGGCAACCTACCCTCCCTAAGGTTGATAATCTCCTTCCTTCACATCCCCTGTCGCAAAAGCCAACTCTCCCAGAGCCAGTGAGAAAGAACTTCCCGCCAAATGGTCAAAATTCTGCTGGTTTTCAGGGGTTGCAAATTAGTCGTTCCAACACACCTAATCATCCGCCACATGGTCAAAATTCTGCTGGTTTGCAGGGGTTGCAAATTAATCGTTCCGACACAAATAATAATAATCATCTGCCTTATAAAAATAACGCAAAGGTATCTTACAAGTTACCTGGACCTGGATACCCGCAACACCCACAACGTCCGCAACTTTACACCAGAAAAACTCCTGCTCCTGGAATAATACCACAACGTGGATATAATAATTTAGCGGCGATGTCAGAACCTATTCCCCAAATACACGTTACGAGGTCGGAACCGACTTCTCAGATACATGCAGCGATATCAGAACCTATACCCAAAATATACGTCGGGAGATCAGAGCATATTCCTCAAGTAGATGCAGCGATATCAGAACCTATACCCAAAATATACGTCGCGAGATCAGAGCCTATCCCTCAAATCAATGTCGCGAAATCAGAGCCTATCCCTCAAATCAATGTCACAATGTCTGATCCCGTTCCTCAAGTAAATGTCGCAATGTCAGAGCCTATTCCTTTAGTACCCCAATCAATTCCCCAAGCATACGCTACAAAGTTTAAACCTGTTTATCAAGCAAGTATCACGACGTCACAATCCATTCCCTCCATCGAGTTGCAATCCACTTCTCAACAGCAAACAAAATCAGTAGGAGCGTCATACGATTGTGTCGACATAATTGATAATTATCATAGTTACAGCGAATCCGGTGCCAACAACTATAATAATCATGCTAATAATAATTATCCCGACAATAGTAATAATTATGCCAAAAATAGTTTTAACAATTATACCGGTAATAATTATACGAATAATAATTATAATAATTTTAGTCAGCCTATAGTTGATGTGGAGCGTCGCCACGAGAACAATTTTGCCTCAAGTTCGCAATCACATCAACTGCCAAACCAAACGGCGCTACAGGTTGAACAGTCGATGTATGATTATACGCAACAAGGAAGTAGTAAAGTAATAGAAGAAGAATATTTTTATGCACAATGATTGTGATAATGTACAGTAATTATTGTTATTTTCATGAGATTAATTATATTTTATTTAAATTTAAATTAATAAACAAAATCCCCTATCTTTCCACGGTATGTAAACAATACAATAATTAAATCTATTATTATCTGATTATTGATGTTTGAGCGAGATAATGTCAACAACAAAATATCGTGAAGCACAAGAGATCAGAAAAACATAAAATTTTATCAAGATCCGGGTTAGCTCAGAGAAACAAAACGAAGACCTTGACAGGTAATGCGAGCACCTCAGGCAGAAATGTCCAGATTACAAACTCATCAGGAAGGTCTCAACTGGAAACGCGAGTGCTTCACATCCATTTTGAAACGATCGGGAATTTGTTGTTACCAGGAAAGATCAATTCTGCAGAATTGTATACGAGCTTATCGAATGAATTCTTGGCAAGAACAGTACAAAGTGGTACTCGATTCGGACGTCAACATTAATGACACTGAATCCAGATTTTATTAATCGTTACTACCTTCACAGCAAGACACAATGGGTTCAGGTCAGCTGGAAAGCGAAAACACAAGTGAGATTAAAAACACGAGAGAGACAGATTTCCAAATGCCTGAGAAAAGGGAAAAGCCAAGAATGTGGATGGAAACTGTAAATCACCAACATGAGCATTATACAAAAGCATTACCTGAATGTATGAGTGTTTCACAACTGAAGAATTCCTCTAGGTAAAAGAGATCCCTAGGGAAGTACGTTCGTACACGATTCGACAATTGATGATCGCATAGAAAATAAATAAGAAGTTGCATGGAAATAATCTCGATTCTTGCTAGGGGTTGGAATAGGAACAGAGGGAATACACATTCTTAAAAAATATTATCACCTCATAATACGATCTGGATATCATCGATATCTCGCTCGATCCAGGTGTCTACATGTTTATGACAGGTTATGATTCTGACGATCTCAATTAATCGAGTGGGGTAAATTACAGAACGACAAAGATCTTGCTTTGGGAATAACAAACAAGAGAGAGATTCTAATTGAGAAAAAAGATACTAATAATTATACATCATTCTTTTACCAAAGTTCAAGTCTTCGAGAAGAACAAACAAAAGATTCGGTTAAAGATTACTTGTACGATGCTAACTTGGTCACATTTCATAAATCAAGGTTGCAAGGTCATTGAATACACTGAAGAGTATATATCAAAGATATATGGGAATTGTGAATTCGTAAAAATGATTTCGGTAGATTAAAAGCGTTTAAATGTGATTCGTGCAAGGTGGAAACGGATCGGGACGCGAACGGTGCCAGAAATATCATGCTCAAATATTTAACGCAGAGAGTCCTGATTTTAGGACTTGAGCCTATATGTGATTTAATTTCAAGGGAACCTATATAGTCCTATTTCTATAACTAAGTCGAATATTTTCACACTGGTTCATAAGGTGCAAATCACAAAAGGATCCAATGTGAGGGATTTTATTGATTCTGTCTGGCTCGATCCTATACATCCTGGCTAAAGACTAAATTCAGGCATTAATAAAATAACTTGGCATTAATTTGCTTTAATACTCTAATATCGTTTCTCATTTCGTTTTTTCTAACATTTGTAGCCGAAACCTCTTAATTTCGTACCTAGTTTTGATTTGTTATTTGTCAAAGAAAATCGTGAAAATCAAAAATTTAAATAATTAACCCATTTCTTCTGATAATACAGTATATTATACAGTATATGCTATTTTCTATACCGAATCTATATGGTTACCAAAGAAAGTCATCGATTTTTATTATAACTGATAATGTTCTAATGTAGAATGGTTTGAACTGCGGTAATTAATGCTATTGTAATTAATTAAAAACATTAATTATTGATAAAAAGCGTTTTTTGAAGTTCCGGTTTGGACCGGATTTTGTCGACAAACATAATTTGCAGATCAGATTGTAAATCAATCCACATTACAGTATCAAATTCGGAAGAGACTTTTTTCAAATGAATTTTATTCTAATAATAATATTGGTTAACCTTATTTAGCAAGTAAATACAGTATCTATTATCAAAATTATATCTATATAGAATTATTCGATAATAAATTTTATGATTACCTAAAAATAGCAATCTTTCTAAGATAATATAAGCTTCAACATGACTTTCTCTTTAATGGTTTTTCAAAAAAAGAACAGACGGTTTATCTCCTTTCAAAAATTACAATATTTAGAAAATAATAACTATTATTTATTGAATATTTATATTATATCTAAAAATAAATACGTACAGTATATCAAATTCTTTTTATAACTTAAAATCAATCTATATAAAGTGATTGCAATATCTCCATATAACAAAATAATTATTTTAATGCTTTTTATTATCTTATTATTTTATATTATTTTATGTTTAAAAAATAAATAAATCAAATTTTAATTATTATTAAAAGTTAATTTATATAATATAATTATAATATCTTTAGGTAACTAATATCAATTTTTTTTAAATAATTAAATATTGTTTAAAATTTAATATGAATTTAGAAATTTGTTTATATTTTTAAGTTTTTATATAATTAAAAGAATTATAATAAAATAAGAATTTGATAATTATTTTATTTTTTTCAAAAAAATTATTTAATATAACAATAAATATTTCTTCATTAATTCAAAAAGTCAATGTTTTCAAAAGATTTTATATCTTTATAATAATAAAATTTATAAAATTTTTTTAATAATATTGATCTTTTTATTAGTAAAATAAATAACAATTTTATTTTTATTTATTTTTTTTGAAAAAAGCAAATAGCTATCACTAAAGATGGGTTCCTAAATTAAAGGCGAGGATATAATTCAAATGTTCCTCACTATTAAAAAAGTTTTTTTTTAAATATAAGGTCAAAAA